ATTTGTTCTTCCAGACGGGGTTGCAAATTTTGACAAGGGGTAATTTATATTCCAAAAGTGTAGAGGGGGAGGGGGGTGGCAGTAAGGTTGTGTATGTGGTGGTGATGGGGGGGGGGGGGTAGTTAGACACTTTAGACACAGTTGTTTTTGTTTTTTTTTGGAGAAAGTCACGAGTAAAATTTGTCCTGATCTTGACTCATTTGTGTGTGATCTTCCTTAAAAGTCCATAAGTTATCATTATACAAAAATCACAAAAGGGTTCCATGTACTACCCAAATTCTATGAGGGGGTGGGGAACATGGCACCCAAATCCCTCTCCTGGCAATTGAAAAGAGAGAACATTTCTCAATAAACATAATCAAATCTTAGCTTGAGGGAGAGAGACAAATTTATCTACTTTAGCAACCACTGCGCAGACCAAGATCAGCTGGCACATCTGTGTAATCTAGTCACATGGTCTGCACTGTTCACTCCTCAGTCCGGACAGAATTGCGAAAGTTTTCCCTAAAAGTGTTTTATGGTCTGATCCAATTTAATTATTCAATGGATAAGTCCATTTAACATTTTCAGCATGGTATTAAAAAGTTAAAATTTTTATACACAAACTATAAAGTAATACAGAAAACAAATCAAATCTGACAATCCAAACTCTTTTGACAATACCTATAAGGGTGTTTTATACTTCGGAAAATAACTAAATAAATTTCGATTGCTTTTCGGATTCACACAACAAAGAACAAACATATTCATTATTTTCCTGGTAGCCGTGAGGAATCACAGTAAATGTTACAATGATTTATTATCAGACAGATAACTATAAATTTCCATCAGGGCTTCTGTTTTTATTACCCCTGATAAGTGATAATAATATTGACAAATGCAAGCCTCTAAAAGTTTCCCTGATTGATAATGAACTCTCATCATAAGCTCAGGAATGCTACATATAAAGTTTCTCCTTTATTTTAGTAAGTTTTTTTGTTTATACATGTATATACAGTAGAACTTCTATGAGTCGAACTTCGATTAGTCGATTTTCTCCATGTATCGAAGTAAAATGAAAGTCCCAAATTTTTCGCCTATATATTCTTTATAAAAACCTATTAATGAGTCGAATTTTATGTGTCGAATTTTTCGATGTGTCGAAGTTTTTTCGTGGTCCGTATAGAATAAATCAAGTACAAGTTACCACAAATCTGTCGAAGTCCTTTGATTTTTTTGACACCTTCGATCTCGAGATATTTTTCACACCTTATCTGGCCGCGAAGATGATTTTCAATCAACTTTGGTGACAGGTGTTAATTACACAGCTGTGTCTTCAAACGGCATTTGTATGCGTTGAAATGTGTGATAGATTGTTACCATTTAAATTGACGTAGTGGTTATTGAAAGTACATGTACTTCATGTACTTTCATTTGAGAACATCCGTAACCCGGTGTCGCGTGATAATCACACACGAAATATTTACTAAAAGCTGGTTAAGTTAGCTGGTTAAGTTATCGCCCTTTTCTATTGTTACGCCTTTTGTAACTTCCTTGTTTACGTCAACGGGTCGAAATTTTGTTATGAAATTGAGATTGATTCATGAGTCGAAGTCCTGATGTGTCGAAATTTTTACGCATGTCCCTTCAACTTCGACTTACCGAAGTTCTACTGTATATATATATATAATTATTTTGCTTGGGTTTGTCCCTTAACCTCCTGGAACCGAAGGTGGTTAGCCTTTTGCCATCAGTATAGAGCTAGGCCAGCTCATATATCTGTGCAGTCTGACCAGACTCTATAAAGTTGACAGAGCTACTTTTTTTTTTTTTAAGTACAATTGTGTACTTTAAATTTTCATCTTGATACTGATATGCCTAAAATTGACAATGGCAAATTGAAAAAGTCCGTAAAAATTCAAAGAATTTCAGCAGGTTAAGTCTATATCAGCCATCAAAAATATAAAAGAATCTCATTGCTTAGAACGTTAGTTAGCCTACTGCATATTGTGGCTATACAGAATCTACCCATGTGACCTGTGCACACCAAGTATAGCCGGCACATCTGTGCCATCTGATCAAGGTCTGCACCGTGTTTGCTATTAAGTCAATTTCATATATTTTAAAATTTTCCCTAAAAATGATTTTCTGTCTTATCCACACTGAAAGATGTGCAAGTTCATTCAAGATATTTAGCATATAGATCCACAAATTATTACATGTATGCATTTAATCATTAATCCACAATTACATAAACACCATTCTCATGTATATAATTAATATATAATATTCCATGAAAAAACCCAATTAAATCCACAAGAAACACAACTACACATTGATATCAAATCCACAGAAAAACGTAAATTACAATCTAAATAAACTTTTTTTCCACAGAAAACAATGCAAGTAAACTTTTTCTCCACAAGAAAACATTAAATCACTAAATCCATGAAATTCAAAAAGACATTATTTATGATCCTCAATCCACGAAAAACATAAACACTAGAAATATGTAAGTAACTATATGTAAGTAACTATATAATCGAAACCATAACAATAACAACCCTATCATAATTATGATTGTATTTCCAGACAGAAGCTGTATATATATTATACACACTGGCTTTCTGGCAGTGATTATAATACATGGAGATGTAAGAGTTAGATAAGGTACTGTAGTTACTCTCTGACTGCTGAAGGGAGGGGGGGGGGGGGGGGGTTAACAACAATAAACCCCCACTGGAACAGTTACCTCCTGGTGAGGTGTTTAAACAGCAAAAAAACTTGCCTACGGCCTCCAGTATAGAGCCAAGCATGCAAATCTCTTACCGTCTGACAATCTCAATATTTAAAACACTAAAATCCCTTAAATTAATAATGGAAAGTTCCAAATTCAAAACAGGGCAAGTCTCATTGTGAAAATTTAGGTGGGTGTTACTTTTTGTCCATTTTTAGCAAGAAAGTCCCTTAAATTGTCAATGGAAGGTTCCAAATTCAAAACAGGGTCAGTCTATTATGAAAATTTAGGTGGGTGTACAGTAACCCCTAAAGTTAACAATGGACAGTTCCAAAATCAAAGCAGGCCAAGTCTAATTATGAAAATTTAGGTGGTTTATTATACATTAATTAACAGAACATCAACATCATGCTGCTTAACCACCAGTTAATTCTATTAATAGAAACATTTATAAGTGAGTATTTCCTCAGTTAATTTATTACCACCAGTAAATCTGCATCCAATTTATTCCATTCATTCAAGTTGTTTCCATAAATTATGTTCAAACAACAATCACCCAAACATGATTAAAGGCAGGAAAACAACAAGGGAATGGCCACGTAAACAACAAGTTCCTGTTATTTTTGGTGAAAAATACTTTTTAAGCAACACCATTGCTTGATAAACAAAACTTCATTCCAGTTAAAACAAATGTTTTTTTTTTCATAATGGTTTCACACTTTTTTTTCAGTTTTCACATTTTTTTTGTTCAATTTTCACATATTTTTCCAGTTTTCAGTGTATAGGGAATATTACCCATTACCCTATATAATTCCAACATAGATTTTTATCTCAAAATTGGAAATTTCCGTTTAGCAATGTTCTTCACAAAAATTGGGAATAAAATTTTTGCAATGTTTCAATGTTTTTCCAAAAAAAGTTTTTCTTAAATTGGGGCTTTTAGATTGCAAAACATTTTTCTTAAAATTGGGAATTTATTATGCAATGTTTTTTTTTCACTCAAAATTGGGACTTTATGTAAAATGTGAGCATGTAACCTTAGTACATTAAATTTGCTCTAAACAAGAACACATTGCTGTTTTTCCATAATAATTATTCTAATTGTGAAAAATCATCCAAAATATATACACATATACAAATATATATACAAGAAAAGCATTGATGCAAAGCATCAAAGGGCGACGCCAAAAGAATTTGATCCAGATTTGCACCTAAATACTTAACAAAAGATGTGTACTTTATAGCAGTACCATTACATGTGACCTGGAGGCTAGGGCCAGGTTAAGTTGAAACTTAAACCAAAAAAGAATAGACTCTGTCTTGCCAAGATGCAAAGGCAATTTATAGTCAATTAAGCAATCTTATAAGACTCATGTTATAAGAAAGAATTTCTTCAGATTTAATTTATGAGACACAAGGATTCCTGAGTCATCAGCATATAATCACTGGCACGAGTATCGGACCTGGGAAGAAAAAATATGACCAGATGACCAGATTGATAAAAAAAAACTGTGTTTATAAAAACCAAAACAAAAAATGTAAATAATGATCCCCTTTAAAAATATACTTTCAACTTGAAGTATATTTTTAAAGGGGGTCATTATTTACATTTTATTTTGGTTGTTGACACTTTTAAGATGAACACAGGTTTTTTTATCAATCTGGCCATATTTTTTCATCCAAGGTCTGATACTCGTGCCTGTGCATTATAATAAAAGCTTATTGCTTAGGGTTGAAGACATGTAATTGACATATATTAGACATAAAAGAGGACCTAAAATGAACATCAGGGGGACAGCATAGGTACTCAGAGCAGTAGTAGAATGAGTACCAGCCACATCAACCAGCTACTATCCCAGTTGAAATCTTGTTCTTATGTTCTGGAATGGTTCATGTTAAGTTAAAGAACATTAAGAACAGTTCTTGAACTGTACTAAATGACTGTTCAAGAACATCTGTGCAAGAACTGTTCAAGAACATGGTTTTAGAACAGTTCCTGAACTTTTAAAGAAATATTAAAGTCCTTCAATTGTTCTTCAATCGTTCTTCATAGATCATAAGAATGTTTTAAGAACTGTTCATAAACACAAGTTTTGTAAAATGTTCTAAAAATGTTCTGGATACTAGATAAGAACAAATTTAGAACATTTCAAAGATCTCCAGGTTCTTAAAGTGTATGACATTTGTTCCTGAAAGCATATCAAGAATAAATCAAGAACAATATTTAATTTCAACTTAAAAAGAAAATTGAAATGGAACACTTTATGAACAATTTAGACACTAAATGTTCTTATATTGTTCTTGAAAAAAAGAACATCAGATCCTGTCTTAAGTTTGGTCATAGTATAAAGTTTTATAGGATTTATAAATGTACATTATGAGGAGATAATTCATGTTGCTTTTTCACTTTAAAGTTATTTCCCTTTTAATATTTTGAAAAGGATATTTTGTGCAGACATCTACTCTTCTATTACAGACCAATATCCTGAACATAGTCTAAGAAAGGATAAGTATCAATAGGTTTCAAAATGTAGTCACACTGCATAAAAAGTTTACTAACAAATTTATTTAAATAAAGCATGCCCATACATATTAGGCACAGGCACTACATATGGATAGTTTCCGTTGATATTTGCAACACTCTCGTTTTTTTCGATATTTAAATACACGAGTACATTTTTTAGCTGAACAACATCTACCACAGAAATAAGTTCAGTACGTCTAACAGCAGTGTATTGATTGGGAACCCTTGCATTCCCTTGGATTTGTGCAACAGGTATTTTCTGAAATTTCTGTATAACAGCATAAACAAGATTGTCATAAACAATAAAGTATTTGATAGATCCAATTGAATAGTCTCCATACATTACTACACTACATATTCTTTTCTGCATACGGCTGTATTCTTCAGAATAAAATCTTCTGTCATTTAAAATGATTCTATGAACTTTTTTAATTTTGATGTTACTAGTAAAGTCAATCTTTAATGCTTGTCTCACATGGCTTTCAATTTCGTTTGGTTTTAATAATTTTGCCGCGCCAGCAATATCGCAATTAAGTGCCGAGAAAGTTATTTTCCTGTAATCTTTTCTTTTCAGCTCCAGACCTTTTTTGCGAATGTATGACCGAATTTGAATGTGTTTGAAGACTTGTTTTAAAACAGTTCTTTTACCATGAACATCCTGGAGAAGAGCAGCATTTACGTCTTCAAATGGGAATGAACTCCATGCCCAAATTGGTCCCAAATGAGTAACAGATTCTGAAAGATGAATGCCAGTGTTGTGGACATTCAGTCCACATGATCCATCACCATATAAGTGTTGGAAGGTTGCATAGAATTTATCAAGGAGATCTGTTGCTTTGAGAAGCATTTCTTCAGTAATGTAATCACTCAGGAGAATAAAGACAGCTTCTGACAGGTATGAAAAATTCTCCATAAACTCATCTTTAAGAAAATCCTTTATACAAGGGTATGCGTAATATAATAGCCAGGACTGCAACTCAGTTGCCTTAAAATGATTATAGTTCCTTTCCAGGTCTCTTGGAAGACGCTCTATATGTTCTGGGGGCTTAAGATTTTCCATTCTTTCTGAGATTTCTTTTAAATGATCCCCTATGAAATAGTCACATTTACTCTCTGATGAAGAAAACCATTTTGTCAATAATGTCTTTGTGACACCTAGTAATATACCGTGCATGTACTCTGGCACTGTTCCTTGTACTATATCATAATTCTTCAACTGCGACAGAATAGAAAGCCCCTTGAAACCTTTAGAGCGATTGTTTGGTGACCCCAAAAGCATATGCTGTATCACAGAATCTTGATTTCTTGCTCTGCTTCGAATGTTTTTATTCCTATATGGGTAACATTTTGCATATCCTTTACCTTGTTTCACTGTCATTCCCATTTCTTCACATTTTATACATGCATATGTTCCATTAAAATATGACATATTAAATAACTCTGCTTTTGCTGGCAAATCTGTAACACAACAGATAACTGAAAGTTTCACATTGAATGAATTTCCATCAATCATCACTTGAACACCTTCTTCGTAAATGGAATTCATTTGCTCAACAAATTCTTTAAAGAACGAATTAAAAGGAGGTTTTCCTTTTCCCTGCCATATTCCAACAAGGATAATATTTTCGCGTGCAAAGCGCTTCTGAGGACTTAATTCATTTATAGCTAAAAATATTGGCCATAAATCTATTTTGGAAGATGAAAAGAGGTTCACACCATCTGTGTTGAAGATACCAGTTAAATTGTTGCTTGTCCTATTAAGAAAACCATTCTCTCCCATCATAGATCTGTATAAAGATCCATCCATTATATCAGTGATAGTAGTTGATCCAGACTCATACCTAATGAAAGCATCTTCTTTAGTGGCTTGTATGTCCTCAAAAATTCCTAAAGATAAAATTACAAAATCTGTCACAATCCATGAATGTATCAAGAACCATTAAATTTCACAAGTTTTTAAACAAATTCATATCTTAATTTATCACACTTATTAAGTCATTTACTTATCTCTATTAAAAATTGAAATCACTTTGTACTTCACAATTGAAATTTTTGATTGTAGAAAGAATGTATATTACAATTTACAGGTTTTTGCAAGACTTCATAAACTTGAACCAGAAAATAATAGTCAGTAATATCAGTGATTCTTCAAATTCAATGCAATTTCTAAGTTTATTCTAGAAAAAAATCTTTATTTTCCAGTACATACTTATTTACACTTACTCAGCCAGATGTTTTGCCATATTTTCAACAAAATAAATTTGAATAATTTTACTCAGTCCACCATTCATTCTATATACAAACAAAGGATGTTTTATGTTTTAAAAAAAAAGGAAAGATATAAGACATTTCATATTTTGTAACTTTACAGATAAAACAAGAAATTACCTGGTGTTTCTAAAAGTGTCACAAGCTGCATTTTGACATCAGCAAACATAAAACAATCTCTTGGTTGTCGAGATTTTTGTGTCTGAGACTCCAGAGAGCCTTTGTAACGTAGACCACTGCAGTTTGGACTTTGGCACTGGAATATATTGTTGTCCTTTGGGTAAGTATTCTTGCACAGTGTACAAAAATGTATCTCTCTTACTGTTTTAAGACCTATGCTTGACATTAGATTATTAAAGCTCAAGACTGATAAGTCGTCTGAAAAGAAAGTATTTTTAAAAGTTTCTAGGATATCTTTACAAGCACTATCACAGAGTTTATGTCGTGAAAAACATGCTAAAAGTGAAAGAGCTTGGTATTCCCTTTGAGACAATTCAGAATGGTCATATGCATTTTCACTGATGTGGTCATTACCACTGTCATCTGAATCTGAATTATTAAAATATATGTCAGATGAACGATCAGAAAGATCTGAGTTAAAGCTGTCACAGTCACTTGAAGAAAATTCTTGACAGTCAGTGCTATATGCATCATATTGTTGAGATAAATCATATGGTGATAAGCAGTTTTCTAAATCAAATTCTGGTGACTGTTGAAGTACAGAATTATCTGAAATTCCAGATGTGTTGTCTGAGATAACTCCTTTTACAATATTAGGAGTATCTTCCAGCTCTGGCTCTCTTCTATCCTCATCTTCTGATTTGTATACTTCAGTATCTTCGAAAACCATAAAACCAGCAACATGTGTCTCTGAAAAGACAGATGAGTTTATAATAATAAACATAAAAAAGTCAGTTATCTACATGTACTTCCTATTTCTGTGTATTCAAAAGTTTTTTTTATTGTGAGCTGTATTGATGTATATGAATAGATATATGAATTATTATTATGACTCAAAGGCACAAGACTTTATGAATTTTTTCAGGTCAAAAGATCTTGATCCATGCAATATTACTGGTATATAATATTATATAAAATCAAGGTCTTGCAGTTTCAGAAACTGTTCAATGTTTTCCCTAAATAAATCTATGTAAAACCTGTAACCCCTGGGAAGGGGTCAAAAATAACCTTAAGTTAATTTAGAGGATAACAAGGGGCGTCCATGGCCGAGTGGTTAAGGTTGTTGACTTTAAACCACTTGCCCTACACCGTTGTGGGTTTGAATCCCACCAGGGACTTCGGATTCTTTCATGTGAGGAAGCTATCCAGCTAGCTTATGGAATGTCAGTGGTTCTACTCAGGTGCCTGTTCGTGCCTGAAATAGGGCATGGAGGGCGCCTGAGGTCTTCCTCCACCATTAAAAGCTTGATAGTCGCCATATGAACATTACAATGTTAGTGTGATGTTAAACCCAACCAACCAAAAAAAAATATGATGTTGTTTCATGTGAACTATCTCTAAAAGCCTTACAAATTCAGACAAGAATATCTTCAAAATATTTCCTTTACTTCCTGACAAAGTTCTCAGTGAAAAGGAAACTAGTAGACCAAATAAATTACTTAAAAGTTGTTGATGTGTATTACTCGTTTTATACTTAATACACTCTTCTAATTTTTTCTAATTCTTAAAGCTATAAACAAAAATATTTCCAAATGTAAAACTATTTAGAACATGTGACCCTTTGGGCAGGGCCAAATGTGACCATAGGAACACAATTTTAAAAACTTTTAAGTGGGTAACCTGATAAAGCTCTATGCCTTAACCCTTACAATTTTATACAAAAAGATTTTTACTCGGTTGAGCTAAAATTTAATTAATTTATTTATAAATGTAAAAAAAAATTACCATTTTGTTTGAAGTTATGGCTGTTCTGTTTCCTTTCTCTCTTCCATCTATGCAATGTTGACCGTGGAACAGGAATAGCAGAATCATCTACATACCTCTTTTTCACTCTCTTAACAGGGCCTGAAGTTCAAATTTATCATGAATTGAATGTTACAATTTCTGTCAGTGTCTGTGAAATTTAGATTTAAAATTACTTGTCATTTTGGTAACTAATTCATGAAATCTGGGTTGTCCTAAGTAAAAAAAATTATAATCTGCCCAAATATTATCTGAAGATTTAAAAACATCAAACTTATACGGACTGATAAAAAAATCAATCTTTTCAAGCTCATTGTTTATTTTTACGCTTTATTTGTTATTTTGGTCTTTTATGGAAACTGATAATATTTAATTATTAAGGAAAATAAAAATAATCACAAGTTAATTATTTTATTAAGCTTTACTTTCTTTTAAAACGTTTAAATAAACACTTTAAATGCTTAGGGTGTCGAATCATGGGCAGTCGAATATATATATATATCCGAAATTAAGTACGATAGAGATTTACTGCAATGAACAATTTTAATGTCATACTTAGTCCGTGCTTATTTGACTGGAGATGTGTTAAAATACGTTGCTTCGATGACAGTTCTTGAAAGCACAGCATACACTTGTATTTTCCATTATTAAGTAAACGATAGTTACTTCCTTTAGAAGACGGCATTTTCGCGTTGCAAGCGTCTAGTAACTTGATAAAAGGTTACAGAGAACTAAAAAAAAAACTAAGAAAATACTCGTGAAAAATAAAAAGACTTTTCAAAATTTTTGTTTAAAACAGTAAAAAGAATATCATTATTTTTACCTCACACTGCTGATTCATCTTAAAAACTTGGATAACAACACGCCGACTTATCAATAATAAATTATTGAAATTTAGTGGACTATGCCCTGACCGCACAGATAAATTTCTCATGAAAACACCGTTTCTTGAAAATGATGGCGGGCGACACGCTGTATGCACTTATTCAGTGGGAAGACCGTTTTCTTTCAGTGATCAAGTTAGATAAAATCGTCAAACCGATAAAAAATGTTACAGAATATGCAGAGGGTGAAATCGTATCAGCTAAATACGGACAAAAGGTCTTTGAGGCTGTTATTTGTGAAGTTCACTGTAAGTTCCCACGTGACCGAAGGGTCGTCTGCAAATAATGAAAATATATATTGTATTTTCGATGAAGAAAACGTTAATCTTTTGAATTAGTACGAATTAATATGTTTAAATAGTGCATCGAAATAGATCTACCCTGTCCCTGATAAATTTTATGATTACCACGTCATGTGTTCAAATCGGAAAGCAGTACGAGTTAGCAGGGCAAACGGCATTCGGTCTGTCTAGATGTAAGATAATAATTATATGAAAAAGGCAAAGCCTCAAAGCGAGCTCGACTTGTTTTCATATGCAGACGTGTATAGATATGACTCTGTTCCTAGTATCTAATACTAATTAATTTCTGTGTTGTAAAATGTGAAAATAAATGTAGAAATCATTAAATATACCTAGGTAAGATTGAAAAATATTTCTTTGAGAGAACACCTGGTGAAATATTGTTACAGTGGCGTAGCCTATGAATAAAAATATAATGGCAGGTGTTTTCTTGTGAAAAACTATTTGATCTTACTTGTAAAACAAACAAATTTTCTATTCATTTCAATATAAAAATATACCTTTTATTGCATGTTGCCACGTAATGTCACCCGCTTATCTTCATGACGTCATCAGTTCATGACGTCAAATGTCCAAGTACAATACAATTCCATTTTTTTTTAAATTTTAAGTTATGTTTTAGCCCCTTATCTGTTAAATAATTTGTATTGTAAAAAGTGAAAATAAAGATGTGTACATGTAGATAATTTTAACTTTGTAAATGTTATCGTGCATATTTTGAATCAACATTTACATATTTATATGCATGCAATAGTTTAAATCGATTGTAAGAAACCCTTCTGCTAAGATTTCCTTTTCAGGAAAAGGATCTATTTTCATCAAACTTCGGACTGGTAATCGAGGAGGTGTTCCGAAAGTCTGTACCTCCAAATGAAGAGCAATCAAACTTATTTCCCATAACTCCCCTCCCCATAGAAGTACTTCCGGCCAAACTTGAAAAATCCATCATACTTTTGACGGTACTTGCGTAACCATAAAGCTCGCTTTGGGCCTGCTCTTTGAGTTTGCTATAAATATTATGTAGGCTATCATTAATTTTACACAATACAGCCAACTATTATTTTGTTGAACCTAATGGAAATGACAAATGTCTAGATATACTTTCTGAATGGTTTCTTTACAGGTGACAAGAAATACCTGGATGCCCAGGCGAAACTTCCTCCTAAATACAATTTTCATCAAGTCAAAAGGGGAGGTAGATATTATTTCTTTCCTATACATAAGAAATTACAGGAAAAAAAACCTACCAGGTTACGAAAATTGAAAAGAAGGCACAAAATTTCAAGGGTTTAGATAGAACTATGAATGTGTGATTTAATGTTATTTTTCTGTTTCTTTTCTGCAATTTCAAAATAAAACTAGAATAAAGCAAGGAACGGGTCAGAGGTTAAAACTGCACACTTAACTATTCCTTAGCTCACCTGATAAATTACAGGATATTCTCAAAATAACTTTGTACATGTGTTATAAAAGGCCTAGGTTTGAAATTGTAATTTTACAAGATTTTCCAGACAGAGTCTTCAAATCTGACTGACATGCTTTTTGTTTCTACATGAAGCATTTCTATACTTGTCAGTATGATATACATTTTGAAAAATTTACACTTGGAGACAACCCGGACAATGCAGAGGATTTTGCCAGGTTTTGTAATTGTTTTTATTACCAGAATGAAAAAAACAACTTTAGATAAACAAATTTGATCAACTAATTCTACATCTGATTTCAAATGTAAACTGTTGTAATCCCCAGCTTGAAATGTTCTGAACATTTCTTACATCATTTCAGCTACCAACATTGAAGAAGGGGACCATAGTCATAGTGTAGCCAAGAAAAGTAAAATTGCTGGTAAGAGCTACATTTCATCTTTCCTTTTTGTATTCACTGAACAGCAGGGAAGACAAAGCGGCCTGTTCTTGGCTGAAGGAAGAATAGTTAAATGCTGTTTCCTAAATACACACTATTTTTAAACTGATGGCAAATAAGTACCCTTCATATATATAGCAATATCAGCTGTAGCTCAATCGGTTAAGCAGATGGTCTTTCAATAAGAAAATTGTAATCATGAGAGCATGTATTTGAATACTCACCAAAACTTCTTTTATATATTTTTTTCTTTTATCTGTTCAAATTTTTTTAAATCACTTTTAATGAAATAACACTAAAAATTGTATTTTGCACCATTGCAATTTTAAAAAATACAAAATAATTTATTATATACTAAAAGCAAAGCACATGTCATATTTATGTGCAAATTTTTCTGTGAAAATGAAGAAATCGATAATGGATAGGTACATTACACATGAAAATAACCTATGTAATGCTTTGATGTTTGTTTAGTTTTTTAGGGTAAAGAGTAAGATTACTTTCTTGTGATAACTACCTGTGCAAGCAAATTTTGATGAAAAATATTCAGTGATAATCCAAATGGATAAACAGCAATAATAGTTTTTATAAAGTTAACTTTTAAATGTCAGTTATCCCAAATATTTAAAAGACTGTAAGAAATGTAACAATACATCTATATATTCCAATCCGCCTTGTCCTCGATGTATGCATCAGAGTTAAAATATAAATGGCAATACATCATGATGTAATACACATTTAACCTCCTGATGCACCCATGTGACCGACAGGTATTGGAATACATAATTATTTTCTTCTTGAGTGTTTTAGTTAGTTGTTACTTCAGTTTAGTTACACTAAAACAAAATATCCTAAGTAAGTTGTAGGATAGTGTTGAAAGATCAAATTATAAATAGAGTTGTTTGGAATGTTTTTAAATAAATTTTTTAAACAGTTGAAAAAGTTTTAACGGAAATACCTATCAATTTTAAGTCTGTTGCATCGCCACTTAAGTAGTGCATTATGTATCGAAAATGATTTAATTTTGCAATAGATATTGCGAATCTCATCATTTTGAAAAATTATCGTAATATGTTTTGTGACAGAAAGAAATTGTGATGCAGAGCCCTAAAGACTATGCATGCATACATTTGAACACTTGTTATTTTAATTTAATTATGTAAGAAATAAAGAAGAATTTAAGGATGAGACCATGGCAATATCTCAGTTATCCCAAATTCTCAAGTTATTGTTGCTTTAGTAATGAAGACGCACTGAATTAATGAAATTTTAGATTTTTTTTTATTTCAAATATTTTATGGATTAATTTTGGTTTAGATGAAGGGTTGACATATGGAAATAAGTCATCTGAGACACAGAGCCCACAGAGCCAAAGTTCAAGTTCTGACGAGAGACCAATTGAAAGTGACACTACTTTTGACTCGGGCAACTTTGGACACAAAGGTTGATTTTAGTCTATTACATATTATTCTGTAGATTACTGAAATATAACAGTGAACAATATCTGATAAATACATTGGTAATTGGTAAATAAACATCAAATATTATTTCAATTTAGTGGAAAGAAAATATTAATTTTGAGCATTTGCGCTATACGCTTTCCAGTTATCTTTGTGGTGTGACTGAATATTTTTACACATTTCACCAAATATAAAATTCAGGAAATAGGCCATGTCAAACTGTGTTAAAGTCCTTGCTTAATTTACAAATTGCATCTTTGTTGCCTATCTGAGAAGCATTACTATAATGATTTTAATTTATGCATTGCAGACAGGACAAATGAAGATGGACAAGGAACTTTTCTGACTGATCATTTTCATAAAAGGTATTAAACTTTGTTTAATTGTTTTTACCTAAGTATTTATTGTATATCAAGTTACAAAGGAAGGTAACTACTTTAATTTTCGAGATGGGACCAACTTCTATTTATAAATTAGAAATCAAAAACAGGATAATGATAAAGGAAATGACTGCCAGCATGTCTATCTTTAATCATAAATAATATTTTACAATTTTCATTTTCCATGTTACATTGAAAAAAATCTTGATAATATAAAATGTCATGATGTGAAATGTGAAATATCAAATTACTTTTTTTCTTGTGTATAATTTGGCCTTATCGTTTCTCCAGATTGTTGCATCATATCAGCATCTTGCCTAGACCCTGACATATCGGATTTGTACTTTTTACGCATCATGGTAATGAGTAAATTGAGACAACCACTGTAAAAACGATGCAGAGTTACCCCCCTATGTCGGAAGTAATTACGACCATGTTAATTTTTGGCATAATGAATTACTCATGGGCATAATTGTACGGCCAGTTTTCAAAATTTGGCAGTAATCGTGCTATTTTCTTGCATTAATTATGGCCTTACGGCCATTATCAACACTTCTGTGCAACATTTTCAATCTTGTTGTTTTGGGCTTTCTTAAATGGTTCTCTATATCTTTGATTATACAAAAAATGAAATAAGTGCCGGAAAAAAGTCACATATAAATAAAACAAAAAACACAGTCCATGAGTTAACTTATTTAATTATTTTGCCAACCGGTTTCTCTTATGATCATAAGAGAAACCGGTTGGCAAATAATTAAATAAGTTAACTCGTGGACTGTGTTTTTTGTTTTATTTATTTGATTATATATATATTAACTAATAACTATAACCTAGTAAAATACTTTCTATGTTTGTACAAGGGAGAAGACACTGGAAAGACGAGTGGCGTATCTTGAAAGAGAAGTGAAGGAACTTAAGAAAAAAATGAATGAGGCCGAATCTAGAAACAAAGAAACAAGGGAAATCGAGGAGAATAGCAGCAAAGACGATTACGTCTTGAACAGTGTTAAACATCTACCTGTTCAAATAGAAAGAGAACAATTTGACTGCATTAAAAGAATGTGTTTAACCCTTTTTACTGAAGATGATCTTGTTAAGTGTTCTCGCACTGGAAAAAAAACAGTTAAGTCAAATGATGTGATTAAGCCAGCTCTTGACACACACAAGTTGATGATACTAGAAAAAGCTGTTATGACAAAAATCCCATCAATGTCAGCATCAGCTTTAAATAAAAAGATTGATAACATTATTAAAATAGTAAGAAGAAAGGTAAAGGTGTGAACCTTCACTGTATTAATGTTATGGCGCCTGTTGTCTGCCCATACTTCCATTTTTCTTAAGCTGCTAACTCGTATGTTACTATTACTAAAATATAATCAAACTTTCACGGATAGATAATTTCAACAGATAATTGTGCATGTGCTTTTCCTAGTCAAATTGTTTGAGATTTAAAGATATACTTGGCCAATCTCTGAGTAAAACATTTTTAATGCAGCTAAATTCCATATTAAAAGCCATATTGTATTGGCCATTTCCAAAAAAATGCTAGTCTTTTTTAATGATGCTTTTTATTATTAATACAGTGTTTACCTTTAAGGTGTAAAGTTAAACTGTAATTTCTACTTTGTGTGTACTTTGGACATGATTGATTATTTCTATTTAGTGTGTTATTATTTTATATTTAGATACACATAATGCTTTGAGCCTTACCAGTTTCTGCCAGTATAGAGTAAAAATTTATTTCGGAAACCATGTTTTGGAAGTGGTTACAGCATTATCAACAATCCTTTGTTTTATATTCTGTAATAACAAAGTATGCCAGTCAGAAAAGTAAAACACTATTACTTGCCTTTGTTAAAATAATATGGCACAAATTTCCATAATTAAAAGATGATGTGTAGACTAGAGCAAAACAATCATATCACAATCGGATCACCACCCCTAAGGTCAAGTTGCCTCTAAAGGTCATCAAAGAAATTGAAAGTTACTTATATATATAATTTTCAAACCAAAACAGATATTCAATTGATGATGAATAATAAGGTCTAAGTTCTGAGTTCAAACTGTTGAATATCTTATCAAAATAAAAGTTGTGTCATCATTTTTATCCCCCGCCGAAAAGGCGGTGGGGGATATAGTAATAGTCTCTGTCCGTCCATCCGTCCGTCCCACATTTTTGTCCGGAGCATATCACAAAAAGTATTTGAGGTATCAACTTGAAACTTCATAGGTGGATAGATCTCATTGAGGAGGAGTGCAGTGCACAAGAATGATAACTCTACTCTTCATAATTTTTGAGTTATTGCCCTTTGTTATTTTTCATACTTAATTTTTGTCCAGAGCATAACTCAAAAAGCCTTTAAGATATCAAAATGAAACTTCATAGGTAGATCTCACTCAGGAGGTGTGCAGTGGACAAGAATGATAACTCTACCCTTTATAATTTTGAATTAGTGCCCATTGTTATTTTTCATGTTTATTTTTTTTGTCCAGACTAACTCGAAATGTGTAAGAGAGATCAGCTTGAAACTACATTGGGGTATAGCTGTCATATCCTGGCTTTTTACTCTGTGGGTTATTGCCTTTTGATATACATTTAAATGTCAATGTGTACGAATAGACTGTTCTCTTTTTTTATTACTTTTATCCTTCGGCGGGGGATTTGGCAGTTTGTGACTGCTTCTTGTTAATTTTTTGAATGTTCATTTACCTGTATTCACTGATTTCTGTGAAATAAATATCACATTATTAATGTACAGTTATGAACTTTGTTCTTGTACTTATTTTTTCAATATTTATTATTGAACTGTTTGTGAACAAATATTTCTGAATATGTTCAAGAAATGTTCTTGAGCACTTTAAGAAAGTTATCAGTACAGTTTTTGAACATTGTTCTTGAACTGTTCGTGAACAATTATTAAGAACTGGTCTTGAATGACTGTTCTTGAAAATTGTCTCATTAATAACAGTTCTTGAAATGTTCATAAAACTGTTCTTGAGCACTTTCAGAACCATGTAAGAACAGTTTCAGAACCATGTTCTTGAACTGTGCAAGAAAATGTACATGAACTGTTCTTGAACAAATGTTCTACTTTTGTTTTTGAACTGTTCAAGAACAATTTTCAAGAACCGGTTTTGAATAAACTGTTCTTGAAAATTGTCTCATTTAACATTTCTTAAAATGTTCTGCAAATATTCTTGAACACTTTAGGAACCATTTCAGTATGTTCTTGAACCAAGTTCTTGAACTGTTCCAGAATTAGTCTTGAACCATTCTATAAAATTTCAACTGGGATCAGAGATAAGACTTAAACCATGTAAGAATGTCATTATATATGGCAGATGCTTGAAGTTTCATGAAGAAGAAGAAAAACAACTTCTTCATGTGCAGGATAGTGTGTTCAACTGTATCAAATGCCCTTTGTAGATCTAAAAGTATCATGCAATACTGCCTTTGTCCATTTCAAATAATGCAATCTGTTAAATGAATCAAACATGACTTTGTGTCAATTGAAAAACCACTTCTAAACCCTGACTGAAACTGCCTGACCATGACTCAAACCCATGACTTTCAGAAGACCAACTGAGCTATCCGTCCTGCTACACATTTTCTCTTTAATAATGAAACAGTTCTAAACCACAACATATTTCCCCACTATATCGATTTGTGTTCGTGAATTTCTTATGTTACAGAGCATAGGAAATTGAACTCATGCTTATATGCAGTCATAGGATGAGAAAAACTTTGAGCTTGACCAGAACTCATTAACCTGTGACCAACATAAGAAGAAATTTTATGAAGGCTGATTTGTATTTTGCATCAAGGGCACCGGGCAAAAACATGAAAATGCAACAAACAAACCACTTTGTGGTAGATTGTATTTTCATGTTTTCATCTGGCGCCCAGTTACTTTTTGTACTATGTTGGTTTTCATGTGGCACAAATCACCCACTATAAATTTAGTGCACAAATTTATTCAAGGGCAAGTAACAATCTACTATATGTACAGTCTGTTGTCGCGTTGACTCAGGAGACCTGGAGGTTGAGACCGGTGTCTCTTCATTACAAATAGATAAGACAGAAGCTGTCCTTTTCAAACTATGCACATGTTAGAAAAAAATAGAATAACTATTCAGAATATGATTTTTTGAGACTTTATTAATTATATTGCTTGATCCAAGTTTAAGGACATTTTCAATCAATACATGTTTTATCATTTATAACTTTAAATGAAAGTCTCATCCCTTTAATAATAATGACATAACTGTATCTCTTTAAATGCAGAAAAATTATAAGTCTCAACATATCAATATACTACTGTCTAAGATATACATGTACATGCACATAACATTAATAATTCCCAGTTTATATTAAATAAATATGAAATCCTAACATTAACATTAACATGCTTTTGATGACCTTACAACTGGTGAATTATATACAACAAAAATAGTATTATAAGTAATACCTAAGATAGACAGAAAAGAACAAATAATTTAGTAAACATAAGTTACTTCCCCTTAAAATAAAGAAAACCTGAAACCTAAAAGAACACGATAAACAGCAAAATTATGAAATGTTGCAGGTTCAATTTTATCAAGCCATGCAAATTAATGGTAAAGTATTCATAAAAAAATAGATGGCCATGTGTCAGCAGTAATTGCAGAAAATCGGATAGCTTTCAAAATCCGGATACTGGTACACTTTGTAAAAACAACCATTCTGCGCAACAGATAAATGTAATAAGGATAAAATCAATAGGATAATCGTTTACAACAGTTTCATTACCTATCCTTATACTCAATTGCAGGTGAACTTTCTTCTTGTAGGAAAATTTTGAAAATGTATAAATGATACGGCCTCAATCTAGACCACAACGGTATTCGAAATCCGGGTTTTAGTATTGTCATTAAAACTAAGGGACAAGCTGTTAAACTTAACCCGCAATTTCGTGAAAATAATATCACAATGCACATGTTTTTTACATAAAGTTATTAAATACAAATATAACAACACATTTGTTTACTTGATTTTTACGAATCAAAATAAAACTAATTTACACAACATGAAATTAACTGCTAATAATAACAGCTCCTTCCATAGGCAAAAATAAAAAGCGTTCCATAATAGACGACGCCGCTCACCGGCGTCGCCAATAAAGCTTTTCACTCAAATCGGGCTGATAATATAGTGCCAATACATTTCTGAATATATTTCTTAATTATCTTTTGCATATCTATCTGTTTCCTGATTGCCCTAGTGATCTATGTAAGAAATTATATTTTATGTTTTTAGGTTTTTGGACCTCAGTGGAGTTCCTTTAACAGCAAAAGGACAACATAACCACAGAAGGCAACATGACATTGGCAATGTTACTGCAAAAACACAGACTTACAGCAGGCGTAATGCTACCATGAAAGAAGGAAAAAAAATTTGAAAAGATTACTTTTAATGGCAAAATGATAAGTTTTGACACGAAAAGGAAAATGTACGATGTTGTTTACAAACTTCCACAATGTGAAGGTCATTTTATGGGATATATTAATTTGTTTACTATGCATATTTCTGTGGTAAAAAGTGATTCCAAGAAAAGTATCGACAAAACATATTCGATTTAAGTATCAGGATTTATTTAGAAGGTAATGATAAAGGGCACTATTTCATGATAATAAAAAATGCCTAAAAACGTCATCGGACCATAATTATCTTAACAAAATATCGGAAAGAGAATTTAGAAGGCAATACACAGAGTTAATGACTTCTGTTTTTATGTAAATGACCAAAAAAGGAGAGGCTTAAAAACTGTCAACAAAATGTATTATAACAAACTTTAATCTAAACAAACTATAATCTTAACTCTATAGACGATATAGAGAACTTGGCAAATGTGGGCTTTTTAATGCTAATATCCACCCCAACCCTCCAATGACCGCCCTGGTACTGTCATACTTTTATCACTATATCTTTTAAGTTTCTGATCTGTACTTGTAAAAAAATTTTTGTACCCCCTGATTATCTGGGGAAAAACCCCAAAAATTCTTTCTTACATAGCAAGTCTATTGGTGACCAGGTGATATGATATGAAATTCAAAACATTTCTAATGTTAAATGTTCCTTTTAATTCCATCAATTCTTCACAAATATAACAGAATATCAGGGGGAGATAACTATAAATTTCAATTTTTAGATTAGTTTGTAAGGGGAGGTAACTAGTCATTTTACAACTTAAGCTGTATCAGGAAAGTTTTCTTTTTTTTAAAAGTACCTAATCACACCAGGAAAAATGACTTACAAATTTATTTTTAATTATTTTCCAGAGCATTTTTCAATACTCTGGCAGCCTGTTACATTACAGAATCACAATTGCACTTAAGTTTTATGCTTCCCATTAATTAACTGTACAAAATATTTCAGTTACCGTAGAGTTACTAATAAGCACTCTCCATCAAATTAGCATGATTCCCTCTTTTGTTTGTTTGATTGGGTTTTTACGTCACACCGACACAGTATAGGTCATATGGTGACGTTCAAGCTTTACTGGTGGAGGAAGACCTCACTTGCCCTTCCGTGCATTATTTCAGGCACAAATGGGCACCTGAGTAGAACCACCGACATTCCGTAAGCTAGCTGGATAGCTTCCTCACAGAATCCAAAGTCCCTGTCAGGAAACAAACTCACAACGGTGACGGGCAAGTGGTGATTCCTTCTTTCCCAAATCTTTTTTTTACAGAAAGGAATGTTTAAAGTAAAGGTACTTTTATCCTCCTATTGTCTAAAAGCGCATAAAACGAGAATTAAGCAGGATAAATCAAATATATGGTTGTTGTCATGATGGAGAAGGTGCCAAAGTTGAATCATGGCTTGCTTAAGCTTGCCAACATACAATTTTACATACCAAAGGTGAATTTATTGCAATAAATACGGTAAGTTTTTAAGTAATCTATACAGAACCTATAGGAGATTCATTAAATACCAGATCACTTGCTGATTTTTATCAAACTTCACAGGTAATAAACATGCTTTCAGTACAGTTTGGTTAGAAAAAAAGCATGCCCTTATCAATTATATGAAAAAATACCTGCAACATCTCTGTCTTATGCACCAAAGATAGTTAGTATAATTGCCTTCATTTAGGCCAGACAAAATAAAATTGTTCATCAATCACATTTGAGTCAGCTTTCTTGATTTAATCTGGCCTTGAGGTAATACATTTGTATTAATATTTTTTCTGAGTTCTGCCTCAACTTTCTGGGATTTTCATTCATCAGTGTACACCCTGTGCCAGTTTTTAACTAATCAAATACCTGAAATCTTAATTAGAGCTTAGAGAATTTCTTTATAACCTCAAACCCAGTACTTTGGTGTCATATGAGGAAACTTGGTTGAAACCACTGAACCACCACTCCTGAGGTTAGTATTTATTTCTGCACTATTAATTCCACCACTCAGGATTCAGCACTATAATTCCACCACTTCTGAGGTTAGCATATAATTATGCACTATAATTCCATCATCTTAGAACAACAATATCGACCTACTGATTGACATCTCTGATGTAAAATACTTCAAATCAAAACATTCCTCATTTTACCAGCAAAACAGAAGTCATCAAGTAATTAATAAGTATACAAGAAGAATATTGATAACACAGAATGCCTCCATCAATTCTTTTTGATTACAATGAGGAAAAGTAGGAAAATCATTCTATTTTTAGCCTCAGTGACCTTGACCATGACCCAATTAATGGGAAATCAAACAAAA